CAGACATTGTAATGCTGTTTCTTGTCTCTTCTAACAGTTCTCTGAAATTCTTTGTTAAGTTCCTTTCTGAGTTTTTGTCCTTCTTGGCTTTGGCTTCTCTTCTCTTCTTGGCAATTTCCACGGTTTGTTCTGACATTCAGTTTGATTGCTTTTCTTTCTTCATTTCTGGCAGTCTCTTTTCATGTTCATCCTTATCAACTTCTTTAAGTTCATTCCATAATTCCCCTGGTTCTCTATCAATGAAGTTCAGGACTTCAAAGCAATGCCTGATATTCTCCGTGAAAATGGTGGGTATATGTTCAAGATCATATTGTGAAAACTGACCAGCTTTCTTCTTCTTCTTTAGCTTAACTGGAGCTTGCACATGAGCAGTTCATGATCTATTCCACAGTTACCACTTGTCCATGTCTTTGATGCTATAATTGAGCTCCTTCACCTTCTTCTGGCAATAAAAGAGTCAGTTTGATTTCTAGATACTCCATCTGGTGATGTCCACGTATAAAGGCATCATTTTGGTTGTTTGAAGACAGCTATGAAGAAATCACTGGAGTAGCAGAAATGTATAAGTCGGTCTCCTGCTTCATGTCAGTTTCCTAAGCCATATAATCCAGCTACATTTTCTTCCCTTCATGTTTCCAGCATTGGCATTCCAGTCTCCAGCCACAAGCAACACATCTTGCTTGCATGTTCTGTTGATTTCAAATTGGACTTGCTCATAAAACTCATCAGCCTCCTCTTTGTCTGCATAAACTTGAATGATCGTCATATTAAATCTAGCTGTTTTAGCTTCCTAAATAAATTTTCTCAAAAGCCTGTCAATTTGATCAAAATATTTTTGGAATAAAAACAGGTAACACTCATAAAACATATACTGTATAAATCTAAGAGTTATGTTAATTTTAATTACATTTATTTTACCCCATTAAGTCAAAAGTTAATTGATATCATCTATCAAAATCTAATGTAATTTGTTGCAGCACATTAGGCATATTAATTTGAACAAATTTTGAAATATATTTAGGAATACAAATCCCTAAATATTTAATAAAATAAGTAGAGACCACAAATCCACCTTAGGCACCCCATTCTGGTGACACACCTGACCCTAAAGGAAGTAAATTAGATTTACCCCAATTAATCTTACATCCAGAGTATAAACCATAGGCCTGAATTTTACTCATTAGGTCTGGTAAACAAAACCAACATATCATTGGCCTAAAGAAAAACCTTGTATTCAAAAGGATAAACCTTTAGCCCACATTTCAAAAGATTATCTAATTTGTATCACTAATGGTACTACGACTAAATGAAATTATAAAATTTATAAAATTATAAATGAAAGCAGATATCAGGCATCCTCGCCAAGTACCACATTGGAATTCAACTGGTTCAGAAATCATGTGATTTGTAATAACTCTAGCAATAGGTGAAGAATAATATACAGTCGTGTGAAAAAGAAAATACACCCTCTTTGAGTTCTATGGCTTTAGGTATCAGGACATAATAAAAATCATCTGGTCCTTAGCAGTTCTCAAAAGTAGGTAAA